TGGGTGGGCAACTGGTTTTGGGTTCATTTTGTCATCCCTAGGTGGCCCCTAAACAAGTACTAATGTTTTTCTCTCGTATATACTGGGCCCTGGCCGCTCTTCACCCAATCGATCAACAACAAGTCCTCGAAGCTAGGGTTTTCTCGCCGTCGTCTCCTGGACTGAATGAAATCCGCCGCCTCTTATCCTCCACATATATATATATATAGAGCAAAACTTCTGTCAACTTAAGTGGACGTCAACTGAGTTATTACAATCTTTTGTATTGAAGTTTGCCAGTTGAAATGATTCGAAGAAGTAAATTGCAAATTTAGATTTTTTAAGGACTTTGTTGATGCGCTACTTCTGTTCGATGAAATTCCTCAAAGAGACATAGCCGCAACACAGTAGCTCTAGACGCCGATGGTAGCCCCTAACCTCGCCCCTAATATCAGCCTATAACAGCACCAACGGCTGTGACCCCGTCAGGCCTTCTCCAACTATGGTAGCACTGCCGGATCCTCTCCATATACAGTGCCCTCAACAGTGATACCAGAGTACACCACAACCTCACCGCCTCCTTTGTTAACTCCCACCACCAGCAAATGACAACCACAGCCATTGTCACCCTCGATAACTGCTCGGTGCCCATCGACGATGATGTGCATAAGTCGTTCAATGGAATGCATGAGAAACATCTCTTACAGTGATGCCGCCGCCATCAACTACATGCAGCTGCGGCACCTCGCATCCTCTGTCCATACCCTCACAGGACAACGTCTACCTCGCTGCCTACAACTGCAAACCACTGACGTTCTCTAATTGTTCTCTGATTCAACCACCTCTAGCTAAGCTATGCCAACAACTATTCGTTCAACTCGGTTCATCTTATCCAAATTCTCGGGTCTATCCACCTTGAGTTTGATGGGGGTGTTAAATGTAATAGTTATGCATAATTGTATCGCTTATTTTAGTGTGCCATTGGTTAGAACTTCTTTTTTTTTTTTTGCTCTTGTATATAAATACTTCAATGCAATGAATGGAATGATCTTTTTTCTTCCCAAAGACTCTATACTTATCATGAGAAATAGCAAACGTGTATTATTTATGGATGACTTGTGTGTGAGATGATGTGTGCACGTATATTACATGATATCAACGATAATGAGTTCAAACGGAGTGGAAATCAACTTAAAACTATAACTCAGCAGGCATAACTCATCGACAAGCATTTTGTACATTAATGAGCAAGTGGTCATTGATGAGCAATGTTCTCATCTATGTACCTGAAACTGTATCATGGACTTCTTAACATCCTATCGATGTAAATAATGTTGGCATAGACCCTTCACCCATTGATGAGCAAAGGAGAAGCCCATCAATTTAAAGAACTTCCCCATCGATCCAAAAATTATATGTTGCCCATCGATGAGCACTTGACCTATCGATGAACATATATATTGCCCATCGATGAGTCTGAGTCCATTCAACAGCTTTCCGAGATCTAATCTCAACCATTCGTTGCAGCTGCTACGCCCTTTCTCGTATCACAATTGAGCTAGATATCATTGACTTTATTTCTAAGGAAAAGAAGGAGAGGAAGGGAGGGAGCCTAGGGTTTGAAGATTGAAGACTTCTTAATTATCAGGATCATCCTGAAGCGTTCTCGATTATGTCATCATTGTGTTTTTCATCATTGGACAATATCCTTCGATGAGTGTTGCCTTCGGATCATCACATCTATCTTCGTTCTTCTAGATCAGAATCTTTTAGACTTTGAAGAACAATTTGATCATTCAAAGCTATAAGTATTTTTAATTGCGCTTATTTGATATTTTTTATAGTAAGCAATACATTCTCTACAATTGTCATTAGTTTTACGATGTACTCAAGTCGGTATTAATTAAGGGTTGGTTTTACTCGCTAAAAGCTAGCTAGGGTACATACTAGTGATAGGATTGTTTGGATATAGACGACTAGATTAGGGTTTGATCTAGGGAGTGGTATTGTAACGCTTAATGGATTAGGGTTTGTAATCCATGAGCATAATTATCACAGTGTGGGAGCCGCTTTGAGAGAAAGAAGACTGGATGCATAATTTATTCCAAATCGCTATAAAAATTCTCTTGTGCTCTGTGTTGTTTTTTATCTGTGGTTGTTTCTAATTATTTCATATTATATGCTGCATTGTTTTATTTTCTCGAAATATTTGTGCAACTCTATTAACCATTTAACCCCCCTAGTGTTGCAGTCTCATATCCCAACAAAAGATCCATAAATCCAAATATTCACTACCTTCTTTCTTGTAGAAATCATCTTTGAACTATAGCCATTTTACAATAACCATCTTTGATTACTTATTTGTATATAAAACAATTTTAACTGGTTTTTTTATTGCAATTAACCGCCTTGACTCACTTTTATCATAACAATTAGTTGTTAAATGCCAAATTAATTTGTTAGAGATGATTCTTAATTGAGGTTAAATGTGATCAATTTCTGACAAATTGATTGTAAGTTAATCTAAGTGTTTGATTGCAATAAAAAACCCTATATAGATGGTTTTATGTGTAAATTAAAATTAAAATCAATTTCTATAGAATAATCCTATTTTAAAGGTGGTTTCCATGCAAAAATCCTAGAAATAATGATAGGATTACTGAAGGAAACATACCTAATTTGATGTAACCAAGGGGGGAAACTCTTCAAAACTTATGCACGAATTAAGCGTATTACTTTATTCTATTCTATGTAATCTATATATTTAGATCTATGTGTGCTTGAATTAATGAAGCTGTAACTATTTTTCATTTTCGGCTCGCTCATCTCCTTTGGTACTTCATACTGAATGCTAATTTGTTGAAGTGTTGATTGGGATTTGTAATAACATGATAATTACTCTTACAATAAAGCATGAATATTGAAATGTTTGTATTGATCCCCTGTGTTAAGCTTTTAATTAAGAGGTCCTGAGAAACTATCGAGAGTGTGGAAGCTCTCTTTTCTTTGAATTAAGATCCTATTTGCATATACTTGTTTGTTTATACTCTTTGAGCTTTTTTTGCCAGTAAAATTGTGATTCACGCTTTTGAAAAAACAATAATAATGACGTGAACGGTTCGATCAATTTAATTGAACTCTTAACTAGAACCAAGTAAAATTTGGAAGGAATTTAATAGCAAATATGTAATGAAGTAACTAATCTATTGTGTGCCATGAATTCAAATAATTCCATAAAATATCCTTATAATTCGCATATAGTTGGAGAATTATGAAAACTGTAAATGGGAAATTAAAACTAAAAAAAAACCGAAAAAAAAAACCATTTTAACTCCATCCATCAGTGTTCTTTATAACTACCCCTATTAACACCACTAACAATTTTTAATATTCCAACTTACTCATTCATCCCTTTAACCTCTCATTATTATTTAACCCTTAAACGTTGAGATATGTACGCACACATAGCGAGCACAAAAAATACCAGTGTAATTTAAGGCATGTACTAGAGAATATAATATTTTTGGTGGGATTTATTTTATAGATTATGAAAAATCCCTCAACGACCCAAAATATGAAACCAATAGGAAAGACAAGTGAAGTGTCCCCCTCCTATTGGATAATGAGTTGACACTTGGCCATCATTAATGATGACCAACTCATTATCCAATAGGAGGGGGACACCTCACTTGTCCTCTCTATTGGTCCCATATTTGGGGTCCCTGTAACAAAACTCATAGATTATTAGCAGAACCATTATGTAAAAGATGAGCGCATTTATAGAGGTTATGTATTCATAGAAGGCTAGAGATTACTTTTATTCACTTAAAATAAAAAATGACCGATTAAGTTGATTTAGCCATGTAACCTAGGCTGCTAAATTCGCCATATTAGAAAAATGATAAGATTATAGTTAGGACATCAAGGACCGAAGTTAGACCTAAAATGAACTTCGTTGAAAGTAAAAAAGGAAAGATGTGAATTTCCTCAGAATTGTGAAATTAAAGCTTTGTGGTTGTTTTAATTTAATTTTTTTTTAATATTATTGCAAAATTGATTTACTTTTCTGTAACTTACCCAAAAAAGTTGAAGTAGACAAGTCCAAACACAAAGGTGGCGGTTGGCAAGGGTTAAGTGACGGGTCGAAGAGTCTTAACCCCTTCTTAATCTCCCAAACACAAAAAATCTTCACAAATGTTAAAATGAGTTAAACCTCTATAATTTGTAAAATATAAAAAAATACAGAATGATTTAGCTAACCCCTCTAGAGGGATTAAAATGAGTTAAACCTTCAATAACACTCCTATGTAGAAGGATTGAGAGTTAATTCCTCTAATTATAAAGAAAATGGTCAAAATCCCTTTTATTCTCAAACACTAAAAAAACCATGAGGGCTAAAATAAAACATATATAACGGATTAATAATTTAGTCATTCGGATAATCGAATGGGATAACTATGTTAATCATTCTTCTTAATCCCTCTTTCTTAACCCTTTGCCAAACGTGTCCAAAATGAATAAAAGATAAAATTATACTATTTTAGTTTCACTCCTTTAGCACTAATATATCCTAAGTTGTATTTTGTAGTATTTATACACCCTTAGTTGGTCAAAATTGGGACGTTAACCCCCATACGATTTGCAAACATGAAAATTTCCATCTGAAGTTCCCGTATTATATTCATATATTAATTTTAAAGTGTTTAACCATTAGTAACTACTAAATTACTATTAAGCCTATCCAAATTGTAATTAAAATGCATCATAATTCTTTTTAAAAAAAATAGAATTTGGAAAGATTTAATGATGAATCCAACAAGCTTAAAGAGACACAAAGTTATGGAATATTAGTATATAAATGTTATATACGAAAACTTTCGGATAAAAATTTTCAGGTTTGCAAAACATAGATCATTAATGTGCCAATTTTGATTAAATACAAATGCTACGGAATACAAGTGCTAACGGAGTGAAACTAAGAAGGTATTTTTAAGTGTTATCTAGCCATGAATAAATGTTGTCCACCCTGGTTCCCACTCCCTCCATTATCCTCATCCAGTGGCTATGCACAGCAACAAAACGAGCCCACCATTTTCTCTCACCTCAACTCTCTCTTTCTCTCTCTCTCCTAGCCCCCACACTCACCCCATTCTCTGTCCTCAATGGCCGCTGCCGCCACCACCACCATCAAACTCCCCACCTCCGCACTCCCCTTCTCATCCTCACCTAAGTTCCACCACCACCACCCGACCCTCATACCCATCAAACGACAATGCCCAAAACATGTTCGAAGAATTGCGTGTAAGGCCACTGAGGTGTCTAATGTAGAGGGAGGACAAGCCTCGGTGGCCTCGGCCGGGGTTTCGGGTGATGGCAGGAATTGGGTACCTGTTGTTCCTTTGGCTGCACTTCCTAGAGGGGAGAGGAGGGTGATTATACAAGATGGGGAGACTATACTGCTTCTCTGGTATAAGGATGAGGTTTTCGCTATTGAGAATCGGTCGCCCGCTGAGGGGGCTTATAGTGAAGGATTGTTGAATGCTAGGCTCACTCAGGTGATTTCTTAGTAATATGTAATTAGATGCTAGCATGATGCCGATGGAATCTGGTTAAAATTCATCTTTTATTTGTATTAGAATGTTAATATGATTGTTTTCGGTTTAAATTATTGGCAATTGCTAAATGTTGATTGCCCATTTAGGAGGATTTTGAGCAGGAGTTGGGAATTTCTCTGCACGTAGTGTTAGATTTAATGGATGTCTGACTGTGGTTATTCCAGCACAAATTATTTTAGCCGCCAAAAGCAAGTGGGCTCATATGCATTCATGGGTCACTAATGAACAACTTAAGCTTTGAGGTCATTGCCGTATCACATTGACCTTAGCTAGAACAACTCTTATTCACTGTCTAGCATACTATTCGTCATCAACTCTCTCTTATATTGAGACAAAGTAGTTGTAGTACATCTATATATACAACTTATTTGTGTTGTTAACAGAGATTGTTTACAGAAGGTGTAGTCGTTAGTTGTTTCTACTAGTGTTTGCATTACATCGTATCTTGATGCTTGCAGTTGGAAAATGAGATCAGTGCATATGTTATACTTCGAGCAGCTATAGACACCCCTGAAAGTTTGTTTTTCCTTCAATTTATCATGGATAAAGAGGAATCACATGATAGAACTTTGGCCATGACAACTTCTAGCCCCTAGGACAGTCCTACACTTTCTTTTTCTGCTGGACTATTTCATTTGGAAGTCCTTAACGCACACAACACTATTAAAACCTGGCGGAAGGCTCTTTTATTGATACAAATGCCATCACATAAATGGACTTGGCTAAAAATCAGTGTAAAAAGCATGCTCATTTGGGATGGTCCACTAGAAACAAGAGGCAATAGACACCATAAACCAAGCTAAATCATACAATCTAGCTGATGTGACTAATCTTTTTCTGTGCTTATCCTCACATTTCTTAGGTCCTTATACTTCTAGGACCTTGTCAGAATAGATTTTCACTTTGGCTGTATTCTGCATAAATTTAAAAATCCTGACATTTATAACTAAGCACTGAAATATATCAGTAACATTATCAGACATACGCTATGTAGATAAGAATTACGAAATGCTTAAATAGCTATTGATCAGACTTTAAAAAAAAAAAATTGGCTAGTCCACTGAGGTTCTAGCTTTGGTCGCCAGTGGTGTCAACTAAGAAATTGCTGGAAAGGAATATTGCTCAAGGATAAAATTATTTAGAGTGCTTAACCAATTCCAGACATATGAAATTCCAATTTACTTTGAGTTAGTATGGTGCTATGGCACATGGTTGTCTAATACTGGATTTGGCACCAATTCATATAGGATATCGGTTCATCTTATCATAAATTCAGTTGACTATTCAGCGATCGTTTCTGACTCTGAATTTATGCTCCATGTGACCATAACCAGCCATATTTCCTGGGAATGACATGGATGATGATGACTATGGCAGCTTAGGAATGTCCTATGGGGGCTTGCTACTATTTTCTTTATGAAACTGATGATCTTTATACATATGCTAACAATTTTCTTTATGAACTAAATTAGTATTTTTGTCCAGGAGGGTTGTATTGTTTGCCCAACCACAGATAGCACATTTGATCTGCGAACAGGAGAGGTAAAGGAGTGGTACCCCAAAAATCCTGTCTTGAGGGCTCTTACACCATCTTTAAGGTCCCTTTTCATTTATCCTGTGAAAACTGACGGGGAGAACATCTATATCAGCATAGGCGATGCCATTGCATCCGGAGGATCTGCTGAGATTGTTTTCAGTGGCAGAGCTCAACCCGGCGTAACTGCATCAGATGTCAATATTGAAGAGGTATGTTCTTTGCCTGCCCTCTTTTATGATTAGTTCTTCGTACATTTATGAATGCCTTATATAATGACACAAACTAATTTTTGAAGAGGGAACTATGACTTTGTATGATATCTATATCCTGCTAGATGTTGCTAGGCGTTTGGCTTTGGTTTTCTGCATGGGGTTACTGCTTCTCTGATAAGATGAACCTAACTCTCCACCAGTGACGGATCCAAATTTTTTCCTATGGGGGCACTATATGCAATCACACATATAATTTAATAAGAGTTATGTGTGAGCGGACGTGGGCCCCCACCCACGTGACAATTCTGTCCGCGTACGAAGAGAACAAAACCGACTCGGTTTCGGTTTTGATGTTCCGCATGAAGCCCACGAACGAAGGCCCACGAATCATTTATATATAACACTTGATTTGTTTGTTTTAGGTTTTCGTGCAAGCTAAGGAGTTTTTTTTGGGTGTTAGGCGGCTGCAGCAAAGAGAGCACGAATTTGTTTTGTCGGGTGACTGCGGGAGAAAAATTTGTGCAGTCTCTTCTTTGTTTTTTTTTGCAGCCTTTTGTAGAGAGATATTGTGAGGGATCTGAGAGTTTATGTGAGGGTTTAGATTGTGAGTGATTGTAAACCCTAGTTGTAATCTCTCCCTCTAATAGTAGATCTCCCCCCTCCTTGCCCCGTGGACGTAGGCAATTTGCCGAACCACGTAAAATTGGTTGTACTGCTATTTGGGTGATTTGTAATAGCTTTTTAGGTTCCCTCGACGCGCAGTCCTAGAGCTGACGAGAGGAAGAGCTAATATCCCACTTTGATGGGATATTAGGCTTCAGATTCTTGTTCCCTTTGAGAAACAAGAATTCTTATTGCGACCTGACTCTCTTGTTGTGCTGCCGAAGTGCTGTCGAAATTTTCGCTGCGCGCAACATAAAATTATTAACTCTGAACGCTGATTTTAACTTCAGAATTGTGATGGAGTAGGAGGATTATTTGAAAATAGTGAAATGAAAATGGAAATGGAACTCTGGGGTGTAGGCATATAAAATTGCTTATAGGTCCCTTAGCTCAGCTCGGCACAAACCGACGAACCAAAGAGGCGACGAGGTTGACGAATCGCACGCAAGCAACGGAATGCATCCATTCGCGTGCGGAATCAAGCCAACGGTTCGGGGAGTCAACGAGTCATCCAAACAAGAGCGGACTCGGATCGAATCACGATCGAATCAAGATCAGTTTCGGACTCGAACTCAGAAGTGGATTTACTGCCAAAACAGGAATCGGATTTACTGCCAAATCAGAGTCTAAGTCAACCGAAAAACGGATACAACGGAAAAATGACAAAACCCAACGCCTAAGGGGGGCTCGGCCAAAGCCGAGCCACCC